AGTTCACAGGAGCAAACATCAAATAAAAAAAATACAATTAACCAAACAACATCCGAGATAATGTCCGATGAGCAGCCGTTGAGTTGCCAATAACACCTCTTAATGTCCTCTTTCAATTGATAATTCGTTTCGATAATTCTTTCCTTCTCAGATTGATTGCCTTTCCATTAGATAGTTTTTGCAGTAGTTAAAATTCAATGTAGAGTCAGTTGATTAAAAGATAAGATCCCAAGATTTAGTTTAAAAAGTTTCCATAAATAGTATCAATAAAAATGAGCTATCTCCGATAATGATCAAGCGTCGCCATGTGCTTGATAGCGTCCTTTTATGATTCACAAGCACCTTATCATTTTCACACGAATTTTCACTATCTTCCTCCGAAATTATTGGATAAATCCGGTTCGAAGGACCAAAATGTTGCGTATAGCGTATTAGTGAAAAATGAAACTCATTAATGAAAATATAAGTACTTGGATTTATTTGAATTTATATATGAAATTTACATGACTGAATTTTCTGGCAATTCGACCAGTGGTACGGAGATAACTACTTGCTTTCTTGTCGCATTTTCCCCCTTTCTCTCGTTCACATTCGTCATTTATACGTCATTCATACGTCACAATAAAATTTCTCTCACTAGTTCATTCCCCTCAATCTTATCAATTTTCCTTTTTCCGACAATCTCAGACAACGTTATTTAACTTTTCGTCCCAGGGTGCGTTTTTGGCTTTAACAACAAATATAAAAAATCTGACTAAAGATATTTAGCAAACACCTTTAGGTATCTCTTCAGGGGACCCAAATAATACACTAAAACAATCGCGGTGAGAATAAATGCAAAAAATATACTTAAAAGTTGATATTTTCTTTTACGAAAAAATTTTCAAAAGTAGGGTGAAGAAAAATTTAAATATGGACACCACAAAAATGATCAGAATGTCACATAACTCCGGACATTTAATTAGGGTGATAATACCCTTCTATAAATAAAATTGCAATTCTCTAACTATTTCCGTTCAAAATCTAATGAATTTTAACTGTTTTGTCAGTTTAACCTTTCGCCCCAGTCTCCCCTATATAATAATTTTTACAATTTTCCTATAAATTTAATTGTTAATTTTACTTTAAATCCATTTGTTTATCCTTGGAATGAAACATCATTTATGCAGCATAATTTGTTCAAAACAATTTTGTGAACAATATACGACTTGGACAAAAAAATAATCCATAGGTACTAAAATTTCTTAATTTTTTGCACAGAATCGATTGGCGACAACAGTTTTTAAAAATAAAATGGTTTTATTAATTTGTTTCAACAATTAGTGTTAAAAAATTGGAAATTATAAACAAAAAACCTCTTTTTTTAGGTTTGCCTGTTAATCCAATTTTTAATTTTTAATGCAATGATTAGTTTCTTTATAAGACTTAATGGGTTAAATATTGAAATTAATATTTTTTAGCGTTTGTTAATTTAATTAATATTGTTTAAATAATCGATTATTGAATAGTTATATTTTTATTCTACTACTTTTAAATGTAAGTTGATTATATTAAAATGATCTTGTGTAAAAAATGATGACTTCCTTGTAAAAATTAACAATATGAGGCATTTGTTAATTAAAATTGTTTAAATAATTTAAAGGTGTTATTTCATTGTTTTAACTTTAGAATGAAATATGTTAAAAGGTTTTATTAGTAAACTGCATAAAAAATAAAGAATTACCTATAAGTTATTATTACCTACAATTCTATTATTTATTTGTTTATTAAAAATATGCTTAATTAATTAGGGTAAGGGTACCCAAGAAGGCCACCCATCCCCAAACCGTTTTTAACGATATATCATTATTCGACGCTTCTTAGGCAAGCTCGTGGTAAATTCCTACGTAAGAAGGGGGAGGAGGGGTCCGAGAAATCTTATGTATCCTTACATGGGGAGGGGGGGGTCAAAATTGCCTAAAATCGTCCTTACGTAATTAATGAATAGCCCCTTAGGGGTTCGATCCCAGCGAGCGTTAGATATTTTCGAAAATGTATGTATGAGATTGTGTTTAATAATAATATGTAAAGGTTATATTAACCCGTTGCCTGTTTCCGACCCACGGGTGGGTCGTGAAAAAGTATGGCCATAACTCTTTCCGACCCACCCGTGGGTCGTGTTCACTATCACTCAAAATAAATATAATTTGTATATAAATTGATAGATATTTTTCTTTATATCAATATTATAAGAAATTATAAGGGTCATTAATGATATTTTAGAAAATAATTGAATAATTAGTTATAATTTAAATATATTATACTATTTGAAAAAGTATCAGATTCCGCTGGGCAGTTTGGGACAATCATGTTGTATTTTCCTCAAACAGTTAAGGGGTTAGGCTGATGTTCCCGCTAATAATAACGTGTTAATTGTTTAAATAATTTAGTTTTTTAATAATTTTTTACCTTTGGCTGTTGAAGTTGGCCAAACTTTGAAAATTGTGGTTGGCCCAACTTACGCATCTAAAGTTGTGCCAACTTTGGCGTCAGTCTTTGGACCAACCATTGAAATGTATAGTTGGCACAACATATGCATTTTAAGTTGGGCCAACTTCCTTATGAGTTGTCGTGCCAACCATCGTAGCCATTAGACGGCGAACCGTTATCATCTGTATGGTTGGCCCAACCTCTGGCACGAGAAGTTGGACCGACTTTGTAAAAGTTGGCCCAACTATAGGCCGACCAAAAAATCGCACCTGGGTAAACATGAAAAATAATAAAATAAATAGAATAACAAATCAAAGTAATTTAAAAAAAATAATTATATTTAAAATTCATCGCAAAAATTAAATTATTTCTTATAAATAATAAAATTCTCTATAGGAATTCAATTATTTTCAATACAATTTTAATAAACTTTAAAAATCAAATATTTAAAATTATACCTATTAACAGACAAAATTTTTAATTATAACTATTAAAGAAACTCCATTATTTTAAAAAAGTTTAAAGATATTCTTCAAAAGAATTTAATTAAGATTTTTATAAATTTTAATTAAATTTTTCGCGAAAATTCGATTATTTTCATAAATAATAAAATTCTGCGAAGGAATTCAATTATTCTCAAATTTTTTGACAAAATTCTTTGTAAGAATTCAATGATTCTTAATACATATTTTTAAATAAGGTAATTAATAAATTATCGTAACTTCTATCTCATATTTAAAGATCATATGATTTAAAATGGTTGATACATCCCTGAACGTTCACTCACTAATAGCATTTTAACGAACCTCTCTACGGCGGAATCGTCTAATTGCTTTCCGCCGTAGCGAGGTTTGCCTGTATGTTTTATTTAATTAACTAGAAGCATTTGAGTGACAGCATGTAAATTGTAACAACTGCATGAAGTGAATGTCAGTTGTTACAATATCAAAAATGATGATTTTTGGTATTGTATTGTTCATTTCTAAATTGAAGACAAACAATTTTTTATAACAATTTTTATTAATTATTCTTAATTTTTGGCTCGACATAATAGTACGTGATAGCTCCATAGAGATGGCAGCACTAATATTGTTTCGAAATGAGAAAAACTTAATAAAAAATTTTTTCATTAATTTTGAAGTCGACTTTAGAAAAAACATGAGATTTTTCATAAAAAATTAGTGTTATTACATTTTTGACAAATATTTTACATTTCAAAAGAATCTGCTAAATTTTGGAAAAAATATCTATTCTCATTATCACTTGTAACAACTTCACAACAGGAACATTTTTTACAATAAATCACTTTATTAAAAAAGTATACACTAAATGTGGACAAGCAAGGCAATTTTTTGAAGCTTAATCCTCATAGAATTGATATTAAAAAATTTACTTTGTTAAGTATAAAGGTCTATTATTTATTTAAAAAATATCAAGCAGAGAAATATTTACTTTTGATCTCTAAAAACCAATGTGCCTATTTTTTTACTTGTAAAGCTTGCATATAATTTTTAAACATATTGCAACAAGTTCGTACATAAAAACTAAACATTTTTCCTTTTGGAACCCCATCTCTATAATTCACTGTTTCTGAGATATTCCATTTGTAACAACTGCACAGCGTAACAACTGCACCTAGTCTCCCCTAGTATAATAATTATCCTTACTCGGGAGTTTTTGGGGTCGCTGATTACGAATCTGACATCAGTTTTCCAAAATACAAAACGGTGAATCTAATATGTGGACTAAAATGTTTAGAACTTGATCAGATTCGTTTGAAACTCAAAGAAAAATGCTCTAAACACAATTCAATTCAACTATATTTTTTTGTTACTCTTAATTTTGCAAAAAAAAACGTTTTTTGTTCATAACTTAAAAAAAATTTTAGGTCACCTATAAATGTTTTTCTCTAATTTTGTAGAGTTTCTTTAGACTCATCTTTTAAGCCCTTTTTAAACATTTTTCGTCCATATTAGCAAGAGATATTAAACTTTTAAAATTCTAGAATTTTGGAAAATATTACTTTTTTAAAAATTTTGGTACAAGATGTAGAAGTAACTTTAAAAGTCGCATAACCAACTTGTAGAGCATTAAAAAAAGATTAAATTGACCTATTTTTGAACCTAATTCGATTAGAAATTTTTACGAAATTATTGCTGTTATTTAAGAACCAAAAATTATGAAAAATATCATTTTCAAAATTTATAGTAAACATAACTTTATAAAAGCATAAGTGTTTAATGTAATACAATTTATTTAATAATAAATAATAAAATAAACTGTTCGAAAAAAATCTCCATGAGAAAGCAAAGTGTTCCTAAAATTAACACAATATACATTCATCTTTTAACTTGGCACCGGTGTGTAATAGTTCTAGTTCAGAAATAATTTTTAAATTTAATAAATTATTCTTTCTCAAAAACTCCTTTAAATTAAATTTTTTTAATTCAGAGAATATTTTACTTATTTCACAGACTCTTTAATAAAATACATTAAAATTTATGCATACTTTTTTTGTGGCTTATTTTCAGATGCAAATTATCTTCTTAGTTGCGTGAGAGACGATACGGTCAAGCTTCTCGATCTTCGGATGAAGCAGATTGTTGTTTCATTCAGGTAAGTTTTTCAAATTCAGTTTCTCTTGTTTATGAGTAAAATAAGCAATTTTTGATATAATCAACAAAAATGTTTAATAACAAACAATTTTTTAATTACTAGAAAAAATTTCAGATTTTTAAATTCTCAAAATAATTTTAATTTTAAAAGAATCAAATCAAAGAACGTAAGTTTGATTAGTAAAGGGCTGTTTAGCTAGTTAAAAATAAAAACTAGCTAGCCAGCTTTATTAAAACGAAGAAGACAATTTAGAAAATAATTTTTCAGAAACTTGGGAGTGAAAATTAGGTATAGAAATATTTTCAATGTTTTCTTTTGGGATGGGAATATTTGTGCGCAATGTAATTCGAAATTTCATTTGAAATTTCATTTTGTTGACACAGTGCACTAGATTTCGAAATCCAATTTTGGTTACTTATCGTTTTACGTTTGTGGAATGATGGCAGGGTTATTTCGCACCGATGTGGTTTTAGATGCAATTCTCTCGGTACTGCGGTTTGGCCAGATTACAATGCGTTGCTTTGCAGATAGTGACGGTCGTCTGTCAATCACTCACATATCACGCGAATAAAAGTAAAGGCGAAGCTTCGTGGTTTTTAATTAAAATATTCCCTTTCCCTCTCGCGCGATCTCTCTCTCTCTCTCTCTCTACCGCACTAGATATCATAGCCCTACCTACCGATAACCAATCAACAATTAATGACAACCTGGATTTAACACAAATCGCAGTTTTTAATATGCAGAATTAGTTCTTTTTATTTTGCTCGTCAATATTCTTTTCTAATCATTCAGTTTCAGATTAATGTTTTCAGTTGAATAAAGCCTCTCTTGAACTGTATGAAGAAACTCTTCTAGTCATTGGAAATAATTTGTTTATTCAATATTTATTCTTTACAAAGCCTTGTGAAGAGAAAGGATTTTATCGACGTTGCTGATCTTTCTACAATGAATAATCCGAAATGCAAAAATCAAACAAAATGTTCAGTTCTTAACTGCTGTGGCTCTGAACTAGAATTCCTTTTTAAATAACAAAATATCTGCATTTTACTGAAAGGAGTTTATCAAAATTAGTAGCAAAACATATCAAAAATAAAAAAGGCATTCTTCGTCAACAGAAGCCCTCCTTCTCTTCAAAATGGGTTGGAATAGAAAAGCTCGGTCAGTCTTAAAAATTTTCTAAATGTAGTTACTTTTTATTGTTGATTAGCGTTCATCAAAATTCAAAATGGCGAATCCAATATGGCGGTTAACTTTATTAAAATTCATCTTACTCACTTGAAATTTGTTACTCTGGGGATTTTGGGGTCACTAAATACGAATATGAAATTTTTATAATTAAAAATGGTGGATCCAATATGGCGGGAAATTTCTACAATATGCATTGGATTCACTTGAAATTTGTTCCTCATGGGTCGTTTTTGTTGCTGAATACGAATTTTTCAATTTAATAATTACAAATTTATAAAATGTCGTTAATTAAAAATGGTTTATATTATATTCGTATTCAGCGTCCCCAAAAATCCCTGAGTAACAAGTTTCAAGTGGATCCAATGATTTTCGACTACTTTATTATAAGCAAAAATGTAGCGTAAAACTTTCCTGAAAATTTAAATTAAATTTTCGCCTACTATATAGATTTAAACGGAAATTTTTTTTTAATTTTTAGCAATGTTTCACGCTAAACATTTATTGAAGTAGGAGATTTAAATTTAAATCTTTACACAATTTTCACTAAACTTTGCAAGTAAATACTTCGAAGTTTACAAGTGGTAAATTCCACGTCAGTTCAACACACTAATTTTCATGACTTGTTGGGATTTGGATGCACTTTTGTAAATTTATTACTTTTATAGTGATAAACAACTCCACCAAATATTTTATCAAAATTTTAAAAATTACCAAAAATATGTCATTTTCAAAATTTGTGTCTTTTTTTAAAATGCTACAACTTTGGTTTTAATTAACCGATTTTGGATTTTGAAAAAAGGATTTCTTAAGTTTTAAGTATATTTTAAGTTAAAATTAATATAAAAAAAGTTCAAAAAAAATTTTTTTTTGAAAAATTAAAAATCCGTTTTTGAAAAAACATTATCTTTGATTTCTTCAAAATTTTACTAAATGTTAGAGCAAATGTGCTTTTCATGTCTTGTAAGTTTCATCTTGGGATCTCAAAGGGATTCGGAGTAAAAAAATAAAACGTAACCACATATTACGAACATATGGGGCAAAATTTCTGAACTGTCCAGGTCAAAAAATAAATTTTCTCTAAACTTTGCTAAAATGTTACTATTATTAGTAGAAGTGTAAATATTAATTTTTTTTGAATTTCATAAATTATTTCTTGAGTTATGGAGTTTCAAAATTTTGTTTTTTTTGAAAATATCTTTTTTTCAATTTAATATATTGATAAGTAAAATGAATCAAATTTAAAGTATGAATAGTGATTTTTAAAGGGGTTTTCACGAGCTATAAGCTAGTGACCTTTTTTCCTATGGGCCATGTAAAAATCAGAGTGGGACCATGAAAATTTTTAAGGAAAATAATAATTTATCATTATTTTACATAGAAAATGATGATTTATAATTAATTTCTTCAAAAAGTTCCATGGTCCCACTTTGATTTTTACATGGCTCATAGGAAAAAAGGTAAGCTTTCGATTGGGATAGGTTAGAAAAAAATAAAAAACACCGATTTTGAGATATATTGAAATTAAGAATTTGACCTTAAATTTCAAGGTCGAATTGAAAGAAAACAACATTTTTTTCATCTCCAGCTTATCGCTCGTGAAAACCCCTTTAAAAATCAATATTCATACTTTAAATTTGATTAATTTTACTTATCAATAGATTAAATTGAAAAAAGATATTTTTCAAAAAAATCAAAATTCTGAAACTCCATAACTCAAAAAATATTTTATGAAATTCAGAAAAGATTAATATTTACACTTCCACTAACAATAGTAACATTTTAGCAAAATTTAGAGAAATTTCATTTTTTGACCTGGGCAGTTAAAGGAATTTTGCCCCATATGTTCGTAATATGTGGTTACGTTTTATTTTTTTACTCCGAATCCCTTTGAGATCCCAAGATGAAACTTACAGGACATGTAAAGCACATTTGCCCTAACATTTAGTGAAATTTTGAAAAAAATCAAAGATGATGTTTTTTCAAAAACGGATTTTTAATTTTTTAAAATTTCAAAAAAAAAAATTTTTTTATTTTTTTTTATTATAATTTTAATTTAAAATATACTTAAAACCAAAGAAATCCTTTTTTCAAAATCCAAAATCGGTTTATTAAAACCAAAAAAAAAAAATATTTGGTGAAGTTGTTTATCACTATAAAAGTAATAAATTTACAAAAGTGCAGCCAAATCCCAACAAGTCATGAACGACTCTCAAGTACATCTTTAATAAATTTTTAGGAAAGTTTCAGTGCTGTGTGGGTAGCGACCCCAAAAGCCCCCGAGTAACAAATTTCAAGTAAATCCAATGAATTTTAAAAAATGAAACTAAAAAAAGAAAAAGGACTTACCCTATATTTTAGAAAATACGTCAAATTTTCAATATTTGGGGGCCATATTGAATCATCTATTTTGAGTTTTCAATTCTAGTCAAAAATATCAAATTCATTGACTTCAGATACCCTAAATATGATTAAATTAAATAACATTTTTTGAACAAGCCACTTGTCTTTTTTTGAAGAAAGATCCAGTTTTCAATTTTTAGTATAATCTTCTTGTATAGTTAAAAAAATTCTTCTGGATTTAAAAGCGATCAGGAAAAAATATGATTCGGTCAAATTAGAGAGGCTAAATCCAATTTTTTAACGGATTAAAAAATATTTAAAAGGCGCATTCATTATGGCGAACATAAAAGTTGACGCATTTTCCTCAAAACATTTTATCGGTCGCTTTTGGAATCTCTAAATATATATAAATACAAATTTTTATTGAATTACAAAAAAATTCAAAAGTGCAACGACAACAAAATTTTCTCTCCTTTTTGATATTTTCTAGAGCTGTGCAAAATTCGATTCGAATCGAGTTTTTTTCGGTTTTGGGGAGTCGAAAATTCGACACTTGAATCTTCTAGGTCGAATGTCGAAAACTAGGCCAACTTGAATGTCGGTTTTTCGACATTCGAACTGGACTGACTCGAATATTGAAAATTCGACATTGGATTCGACATTTTAGAACTCCAAAACCGAACAGAACTCGGTTCGGTTCGAATTCTGTAGTAACTAGGCAATTCGAAAGTCTTGTATTTTTTATTTGAATTTTGAGCAATTTTTGATATGAGCAAAAAGATATCTTTGGAATAATGTCTCTTTAATAAAAACTAAACTATCCTTATCCAAAAAAACATGAAAACCCAAAAAATATTCAGTGCGAATTAGTTTGTAATTTATAATCTGTAATAAATAATTCGCGAGTATAACGCGTCACAAATTGGGAAGTAAAGTCATATATATTCTTTTTGGCGCTTTTAGCAAATGAGTTTTCAATGATCCAGGTCGTTGGATTGTAGCCAATTGGAGAAGGAGAGCAAAATAAAAAAGAACCTTCGTCTCAGGACCAGACGCTGTTTAATTACTTGCCATCTGCTCATGTAATTACTTACCTTTAGGTCCTCTTTCTTCCAGTAGACGAATCACAAGAATGACAAATTTCTTTAGACATTTTGCCTCGTTTTTTTTCATTCTCATTTCCTTCGACTGTCTTCTATAAAATTGAATTAAAATGTGATTATCCTGTATTTTTCCAGCGCCGATGGCTTTAAAGTTGGTTGCGATTGGGCACGAGCCACTTTCAGTCCTGACGGTCAATACATCGCAGTTGGCTCCTCCGATGGATCGGTTTACGTCTGGTCCGTTGCTACAAGTAAAGTGGAAACCGTTCTCAAAGATCATTCGTAAGTATAGACATATTAAAAATTAATACACTCTTATTTTCTTTAATAATTATTTATTATTACTAATTATTATTATCATTATTATTATTATTATTATTATTATTATTATTATTTTTTTTTTTTTATTCACGGGGGAGAAGAGGAAATACATTAACGCATGCCCAGGAAGATCCCACTTACCTGGGGTATGTCGGACTCGCACGAAATGCAAGGAAAAAAAAGAAACCTCACATACCTGCTTTTACGGCAGTCACAATACCGACTAAAACCTCTTCTTGATTCCCCTGGGTTTCGAACCTTCTATCCACCTACGGAACTACCTTTCGGCTTCAGACTTCGCAGATGGATGGTCCCATTCAGTCGCTGGCGCGACTCTTCCGTGCCGCTCTTCTTCTGGCCATTATTTTCTCCTTGTTCTTGACAGGGTCTTCTTAGCTTCCTCTAAGGCAGTCCTGAAGACCTTGCACCGACCTGATCCAGCGACGTGTTGGATGTTCTCCTTTTCGCCGAACTTCGCCTTGCATAAGAAGCAGCATGGGCTCTTCTTACAATCTGCTACCTTATGGCCGGCTTCTCCGCACTTGAAGCACGCAGCTGACCTATCTACTGCTTGGCAGTCTCGACCTATATGGCCATGGCCAAGGCACCTGTGACACCTTGTGACCATAACTCTTCTACTTATTCTGCAGGACACAAAACCGATTTTAATGTGCCCTATCTTCTCCAGCTTGTTAGCGTCCTCTTGGGAGGTGACCACGACAGCGAGCTTAATACCTCGCTTATTTGGTCCGAGGACCGTCACCTTCCTGCTTCCTGCTGGCACCGTAGATAGTTTGTCCAGGGCTTCTTTGACATCCTCCTGTTCGGTAAGGGTGTCCATGTCGCGGATCTCCAGCACAGTCTGCCGATCCGCCATCTGCACCTTACCTAGATCGCCGATCACCTTTGTCACCTCCTCGGTGAACAACTTCCTGTTCGAAGACCCCCCAATTTTAATAAGGAGGTCTCCCTTTTTAGTGGGTACAGCTCCCACAACCCTTGTCTGGCTGGCCTCCAAGTCAGCCTCTTTTCGAACCTTCGCCAGCACCTCGGCAAAGGTAGTTCCTTCAGCCACTTTGACGACCATTGTGGCTCTTCCCTTCTTATCTGAAGTTGTCTTTGGTGCCGTTTTCATCTCCTTGCCTTTGGATCTTTTAGGAGGTCCCTCCTCCCTTTTCCTTTTTGGATCCTTCGCAAGCTCAGGATCACTTCTCTTTCACTTCTGAGCATCCAAGACGACGTTTCTCAACACGATCGCGTTACAGCGATCTCGTCTAACTCTACGATCCTGTCTGGTCTCTTCCGACCAAGTCAATCCCTGGTAGAGACTCTCATCCTTTTTCGTAGCTGCTACGTGCTTCTCCTTGATCTCCTGTATGAGCGATTTCATGCTTTTGAGTCCGTCCTTGAATGTCATATTGACATTCTTCTGGACCTCGCAGGACTTCATCATCTTGCTGACCTCCTCCTCCATTTCTAGAATGCATGTTGCCTCTTCCTCCCGCAGCTTAATGCATTCATCTCGATCTTGGTTGCAGCTTGCAATGTCCTTTGCCGAGGCATTACTGAAGACAGAAATGCAGCTGGCTTGACTCGTCACGCTGCTCGTACTCCCTCGTCTCTCCGACCTTTCCACGATGATCTGTGGCACTACCAACGCGTTGTTGCCCTCCTGCATCTTTGGGCCACTGGCCACCGCCCTCACGCTCGAAAGCGCTTGACGATCGGAACCAGTGAGGGAATTAGCCGTAGCATTACCCCGCAGGTACTCTTCCTCGTTTTTACAATCGCTCATGATGGATGTTTCTTGTTTGCTGGTTTTGGTCCGCGTCGAGTATTTGATTTCCTCGATACCACCTATTTCTAGGAAGCTAACCTATCCGCCACCTGGCACGCGTCTGATAGAGGACCAGCAACCCCGCGCAAAAGAACATCTCTAATGCGCCCCAGGTAGAACAAAAGTTCCAACCGGGCACGGAATTATTATTATTATTATTATTATTACCTAATTACTACTTATTTATGACTTATTTCATAATTATTATTTCTTTAATATTTGTATATTTATCTATTTATTTTATTTTTATTTCTCTTCTATTAATATTTTTTGCCTTTGCTTCTCTTTTTCTTCTTTTCTTTCTTTTTCCTATTTTCTTTATTTTACTAGCTCCTCCGACGGCCGCAAGCGGCCGTCTACGGTGCTAGTTTTTATATGTCCATTGTCCAAGTCCATTATTTCATTAAAAATTATATTCAAATTTTTTCAGTTAATAATTTGCTTATTTATATTTGAAATGTTGACGTTTTTTTTGACAATGCAAAATAAGATTTATTATGAGTACTGTCTCTTAACAAAAATAAAATTTATATATTCGCGCTCTTTTTAAATAACATACGACTGCAGCGCCACCTTCACATGTACAAACAATTTTAAAAACACTCTTCTATTAAGATTTTACATTCTCATTGCCCATTCTTTACTTCGATACTTTTCGATACATTCGACCTTTCCACTCCATGTCTTTTTTAAGAAAAGATTTCACTCTGGTGTCTTCGAAAATTTTTGCGAGTAAATTTTACGATAGGAGAAAAAAATTATAATTTTTGGTTTTGGGAATAAAAGAAAAGTGTAACATTTGTGAGTTGCTTATTGATACTTTTTTCTTTCTTTTTTTGGAAAAATAGAATTAAATATGCGACTCGCACCTCAACAACTGTTGGTCCTTTTCTTAATAAAGCGGACATAAAAGATATAGTACGAATAAGATTTTAGGAGAGTAGGATTTATGGAGTAATTTTCGTAGACCCCAAAAAACTTTTCGTGAACGTGTCGTAGACGTGCGGGTGATGTTGAAACAAGAGTTTTCAAAAGAGGGGAAGAAGTCCTGAAAAAGAGAGTTTAAAATTCGTTTTTCATGGAATTCATCGATCATTCGTTTTTCTATATTCACCACACGATATTCTCACTTTAACATTATTAATTTAACATTTTTTTCAACTTTTACAATATTTCAATGACTATAATCACAATTTTTCCAAAATCACTTCTCTAACTTTTACAATTTTATTCTTTCTTTATTCCATTGTTAATCATTTATATAAGTGCCTATTGTTATAACAACAATTTTGACAATTTCATTTTAATAGGGGAGACTGGGATAAATCCGCTCACTTTATCTTTTCAAGACGGAACAGTTTTATTTTTTAAATATTAAAATTCGTCTTATTCCCGTCTTAAGTTTAATTTATTTTCGATAATAAACTATGAGTTCTACAAACAATAAATTGGTTTAATAAATAATGATTATAGGTTTCATGAATTACAACTATGGATTTGAATAATGTTATATTTTAATAAGAGAAAGTGAATTGTAGTTATAATTTTGGTTTTAACAAGTCATAAATTTTGTTATTGTTAAAATATAATACGTGAAATTATTTTATTCTAAATTTTAAATTTAAAACTAAGTGAGCGGCTTTACCCCAAGTGTATTCCTCACATTTATAGCGTCAAATCGCTAGTGAGCGGGTTTACCCCAGTCTCCCCTAATTTAGTCCAAAACCAAATTTTTTTAATTTTTCTTTCTTAATAATTTTAAAGTATTGATTTTAATAAATCTATGTATTTTTGCCTTTAAAATTAAAAATATATTTTTCATTTTGTTGTTATGAAAAGGTAAATACTTTTAAAAAACTTAAAAAATCATTTTAAAACTGATATAAACAAATTCATTTTTGCTTTTTAATTTCATTTCAATAATTTAGGGAAGAGTGAGGCAAACCGGACCCCTCTCAATATTTCCGAAATGTCGAAATTGGAAAAGGTGTTATTTACAAATTTAAAACAACCATGTTTAGTACACCTTATTTTTTCAATCTGACAGTTTTAGCTTGCGTTTGTGCGACGAAGGGAGCAAAAGTTTTTTTTAGTTTTTTTCTACACTTTTACAAATTTTTTAGTAAGAAAATTCTGAGGAAATCGTGTAATGTTTCCAAATATTAGGTCTTAGGTTTTGAAGGTACACACCTCAGGAATATTTACCACTAAAAATTTTGATGAATTTGCAAAGCGTTTCTTTTTTACAAACATTTATTCTCAAAATGGGCCTGTGGGGAAAACCGGACCGTTTTCGGTGGGGCAAACCGGCCATAGGATATTTACATTGAATTAAAGTTTCATAAAAATTATTTTTAAATAAAATGTATGTTTCATTAAAATATTTACTTACAATGAAAAATAATTGTCTTCCAATGAGAATTGGACCCTTTAATATTGTTTCTCTAATAATGACAAAGATTTTTATTTTTTTATTTAAAAAAATATTTATTTAATTAAAATTCAATCTCGTATTATTATTTTCATTACTACAACCATTGTTTACATGATTCTTTATGTTTTTATTATTGCAGATTATGTAAATGCAATATTATAAACAAAAAACCAAACGGTCCGGTTTGCCCATGGGAGGGTCCGGTTTACCCCAGGGGGTGGGGCAAACCGGACCTTTTGCAAAAATTTTTAAAGTTAACACAGCAACTAAACAATAAAAGATGAAGTATAGGTGTCTCTGGGAAAAAGTTGCGCAATTAAATGATCTTTCAAACAAGCCATCGAAAAATGAAATCGGTTGATTCGTTTTGTCACAAGAGTCAAAAAACCGTTAGGGGGGTCCGGTTTGCCCCACTCTCCCCTACACATATGGTATTTAAAACAATTTGAACAATTTTATTTATTTTTTGCTTATAACTGAATTTTTCACTTCAAAATTAAAAATGAATGAGTATTTATAAAAATAATTTGAACAATTTTACTTTTGCGCTTAAAACTGAATTTAAATTATTTATTCCGTTATTAAAAATTAATAGGTATTTATAAAAATAATGTTAACAATTTTATTTTTGACTAAAATTGAATTTTTCATACCGGATTATAAAAAATTTATATCCATATTTATAACAAT